GTGGTGAGGCAAGGTCGGAGACCAGAGGATTTGGGTTCAGGACAGGACGGGCAGGAGGCATGGAGATCGACTGTCGCAACCGGCGGCGTTAATTGCGTGGGCCGTAGATTGGGCGCAGCGCTGGTAACATGTGCGTAAATTAGTTTATAGTGAGGCGGACCTACTGGGCATCTGTCGCGCTCTCTCCTCATCTAGCTCCGATGTCAAGAAAAAGCCAAAACCTATAGGCTTGGGCACAGGGACTAAACAATTCCACAGCCACCAGCGCGTACCACGTAGACCTAGTCTCCAATCTTCTATGAAGGCGGCTCTAATCTCAGATGCGTGAGCATCAGAGACAAGGAGTCATTGCAGCCGAACTCTTAATCAGTATCAGTTTATTGAGGGACAGATGGGCTTAGAATTAATTTATTCCCCCAATTGGAAATCTTCGAAGCCACGGCTTACCGCGCACTGTGATAGATCAAAGAGCCTCGGAGTTATTATGGTAAGAAATGTGCTGATCTGCCTTGGGGCTCGATCCCCCAGTATGGACTCTCTCGCTTCGTTTTTCCATGTACCAGCTGATTGCTCAAGCCCGTCATTTACATAGTTAGGGGGTCTCGATGCAGTTGGTGACACAGTATTAAGGCCTGTGTCTAGGTGTGCCACCTCACGCTCTTCATGTACGACAGTTGCTAGAAACTCTCAGGCTGAGCGCTGTCAATTAGACGCTTGCCGTGGTCCAGGCTGACTCTAGAATTGATTCAGCGCATGCACGACGCGGCCAACTGCAGGAGGATATACTGATCGTTAGACAGTCATTGTCCTATTATGGACTCCACCCCCTGCAATACCTATTTAACCACAGTCGTATGTCTTACAAACCGTTCACACTCTTATAATTTAAGACTATGATAGGTGTCCTACATCTTTTGAACTCTGCTCTCTGTTGGCCAGAGCGGGCTTTTGAAATTGAGCCGCCATTTTATATTCCCTTCTTTCGCTTGTAACTTCTCTTCTATATACATTGGTTGGCCCAGTACACCCATTAAAAACCGATTTTTACTTCTCATTGTTCATTTAAACTACAGCAATGAGGTCATCAGCGCACGACGCTAACACCGATTTTGAGAAAGCCCAATTTGGTCTACATTTTGCGACATATTCAAGGGCATTTCTCCATGTTGCCGACCATTGCAGTCTTTGGCCATTACAAATTGCCTGTGATTCCCCGGTGTTGTGTGGTTTCTGTGCTTTATTTTATTAATAGTGAATGGAGGACGTTTTTACTGAAGATTTTGGAATGATATTTTCAAAATAAAGCGTATCTATCCCTCACTGGCATAATTTCCGTTGCTCGTTTAGGCGGAGGAATAAGTGAATTCCGCTAGCGATCGGTGAACTTTCATCAATGAATGTCAATGCTCTCGATTTAAATCGGCAAGAAAATGAGCCCATGGCTCACTGGTTAAAGCTTAGAACTTCTGGTCAAAAGGTCGCGGCTTCGAGCTTTGGTGCTGTACCACTTGAGGTTGGGTATGACTGACTGATGACGGCCAGTGAGCCTGAAATGGTAATTCTAATCTCCCTTGTCTTTACCGGCAGTGTTAATCTGCCTACATTACTAGCCGCTGTGCAGCTGCTGACAGGGCTCGGGAACGAGTCCCAATTCAGAACGGGACGACTGAGTTCCGTTAGCGACTGCTGCGTGTTCATCAACGAATGGCATCTTTTCCGTTGCTTGGGGGGAGGGGGCGGATAAGGAGCTCATGAGTGTCGGTCGTGATTTTTTTCATAGCAGACGCTCATTTTCCATGCGTGGTGTTATTCTTCCCCTCCTCTCTCTTCTAGGTTCTACGTAATTGAGGGCAAAGACTTCATCTGGAGGAAGCGGGATGCCGTTATCAGTGTCTGGAGGCGTCTAAAGGGCGAGAGTAAACGGTAATTCTTTTCTACGCCAACGGCCTTAATGGTTAAAATTTCCGAACAACTGCACGAGTCTGCTGCTGTGGTCGAGGCTCCACTGCTGTTTTTCTGTTGTCTCCGCTCGACTCCTGTATAATAGGAAGAATGGACAAGCGGCTGCCCTCTCTACGAATGCTCCCTTTCTCGAGTGCTATCCGCCTGTACATTTCGGAATTGTACTTACTACCTCTTGTTTGATTTTGACCAATGACTGAATAAAGTTATTTTATTAGTTTAAAACACACATGCATCTCATATTTTCCTTCCGTAGTAGCAGTTATCGAATACAGCCACCCGAGACTTGTTTGGTGCACGGCTGGTGTCGGTGGGTTCACAGGGGGCCTAGTGTCTCTAGTTTGGAGAATGCAGTCGTCTTCCTGTGTAGGCTCCAAAGCCTTACCCAGCCAAGCGTCCTATACTAAGTTAACAAGGATGTATGGGGTCTAAGCAGTGTTTGTATTCTGAATACTGCAATAATC